AATGACTCAGGTCAGGCCCAGGCCTTGTCTCAGATACAACAATAGCGCTGGATCTCAGACTGGAGGGAATTTGTTAGGGTTTTTCTCTACAGTGCTTTTCTAAAATAGGAGTTCACCAATATTCCCTAGTCCGAAAGGCATGGAAATGACTCCCCTTTTTCCCCTCTGAGGGGAGAACCCACGTGGAGATGTGTATCCTTCCCTTCTCTCCCCTTAACGTACACCCTGGTGACCGAAGACCTGCCTAACCAAGAAAACATAAGAAATAAAAGTCTGAGCAAAAGCCACAGTCCCCTCTTCGAAACTATTTATTCTGATTTCTCGACAAGTAAGTTAATTGGATGGGCCCCTGTGACAGACATTCCATGCTAAAATTCACAGCTTTCTGCCAAAACAACATATTGTGTGCTGCTATATTTTCCACATTGGAACTTAGAGCTGCTGTAAGTCCTGAGTGGCAAAGGGAAACTGAAGGCACAGAAACCCAGGCAGCACCTCCTAAGGTTCCCAGATCGGCTGGCTCCTGCCCTCTGCAACAGCACCTGTTTCCTTTGTTTTTTATTCTTCCTGGGGCTTTGCAGTGGAAAGCACGCCACAGTGGGTGAAAACACAGGTGCCTGTTTTGAGGCATTCCCACCTGCAGCCACCCAGCAGCCTGGAAAGGACTTGTGCAGTCTGCTAGTTCCTGCCAGGTGGCCCCATCCTGTGTCCCTCTCACTGCTCCTGGGGGTGGCAGGGCTGGTCTGCGCCACACAGAGCAAAGGATAATTGCAAGGGAAAACATGAGGCCATGGTGCACAGGCTCACCCACCTTCAGTGACCCATCTGCAGCCTCCAGCATCATCAGTGGGTCCCTTTCCCTTTCTGTAAAATTCAACAGCTGCCTCCCAGCTCATAATGATGTTCCCCCGCCGAAATACCATTCTCTTAATTTTCCGGGATTTTCTCAGAAATATCCCTGTCTACTTTCCAGGATCCATCATCCACCATCCCCCTGCTTCCCAGGCCCTTTCCCTAGGCCTATCAGAATTGACAGAATTCAATACTGAGATGCCAAAGCTCTGGAGGTCTCTCCAGTACCTGGGGCTGCCTTACATTATATGCTGTGAGCACTAGACAGGTGGAGGGAGGAGGGCCTTTGCTTCCCTCTGCAGTTCCCAGATGGTTCAGTAGTCAGTCAGCAAGCAAATGTCAGCCCAAGATGCTCTGGCACTGCACCCAGCAGAGGCCTTGTCCTGACCCAAGGTCCTGACCCCACCCCACAGAGCCCCCACACCAGCTTACTACAGTTCACACCACTGAGCCCTGTGGTTTCCCAAGCATCAGGTGTCATTATTCCCTGTTCCCAAATGGCTGCTTCTGTATGACCCCCAATTGTACCTAATAGCATCATCTCCCTTCCTTGAAGGGTCATGGTTAGCTGGTCACAGCTTGTAACGTATGGCAGCTCCAACTCAGAGCCCTGGACTTGGATGCTGAGCCCCTTTGACCCCTCCTAGCTCACTGAAGAATCCAAACCATCCAAGAAAGCTGGTGTCTGCCTCTGATTGGGCCATTCAAGAACGTGGAACACCAGGATGGAAGAAGCAGGAGGCAACGGACTTCCAAAGTGACAGAAGGAAGTAGAGAATGCAGCCTATCCTAAAGGGAATGACTGTTTTACAAAAGAAATTGACTCAACACAAGTTCATATTTGGAAAAACATATTTGCTCCAAGAAAGCAAGATGTTTCAACAATTCTGCCTGAAACATCTACCATTTCCGAAACAGAGCTTGCTCCTGTCCTGTCCTGGTCTTCTGCTTGCTCTGACTTCAGTGCTCCTCCCCACCTCTCCTAGCCCAGATTCCTTCCTAAAACCCAGCTTAAGTACACCTTCTCCCGACTCCTCCCCCGACTTCTCCATTGCCTCCAGTGTCCTCATCGCCTGGGAAATGCTGGCAGGTGTTTGGGCTGCTTTAATTTAACCTAATTGGTATTCTGTCCTGAGAGAGTCCTTTGATTGTTGTATATGTTTCTGTTCCAGCTCCTTCTTAAGGGTATAAAGCTCTTGAAGATGGAACAGTATCCTGCACTTCTCCTTTGTTTTCCATGAAAGTCCTTTCTACAGGTCTCACTTCCACCTCTCTGGATGCACCATCTTGACTTCCTTCCCTGGCTTCTCTTATTGCTGATTCTCTGATTTAGGAGGCCAGTCCTCCTGCACTCTCTGGACAACCTTGTGAATGCATGGTGGCCACAGCTGCTTGCAAGCTAAGACGGCAGCCAATAATTTAAATCCACATCTCCATTTCTGACTGGACCTCTCAAAGTTCTGAGGTGACTTCAAGTCAGTGTGTCCTGGATTCAACCCATCAGGGTCTCCCAACCCTGCTTTCTTAGCATAACCTTCTTAAGGAATGGCTCCACCAGTCACCCAGAAACCTGGGATCACCCCCAGACTCCTCCCTTCCTATCATCATCAATGAACCCCGCCCTTCCAGATTCCCCACAGGCCAGATCCTGAGCTAAGCATTGACTCAGAGCCACAATGCTATAGACGAAGCACCATTTTAATACCTACCTTGAAAATGGGCACACCAAGATTGATAAAGGTTAAGAAAGTTATGCAAAGTCACAAAAGGAGAAAGTACTGCTGTTCAGATTCACATCCAGATGAACTGACCTCAGGGGAGATGCATACATCACCCTACATTCAGCCAGCACCATACAGTGGAAAGAACTAATTTTATAAAAGAAAACACTGAGGGATTTAAAGCAGGTAGGAGCTGACCTAGGCCCACAAGAGCTAAGACTCTTCTGATTCCCTATAGCATAAGCTACCTTTGAGGGAACGGAGCTCCAGAACATTTATCAGAGCTTCCTCGTGTTAAATGCCAATTGAGCTTAAAATTTCCATGTGAATTATGATTATTCCAATGATGATGGGCAATCACTCATTTCCATTGATTCATTTCCATTGATTAGAAATAAAAAGAAGTTTAAGTTGCAACATAAAAGATAAGGTAGAGGTCCAGGGATTTAGCTCAGTGGTTCTGCTGCCTGCCTTGAAAGCTCAAGATCCTAAGTTTGATCCCTGGTAACCAAAAAAAAAAAAAAAAATCAGGTAGAATTTTAATCTTCTAGAGCTGAAGAGGTGGTAGATTTAGCACTTCCTTGTAAAGAACTTCCTTGCTAAGGGAATCTTTAAATTCTCTCTCACTCTCACGCTCTCTCTCTCTCTCCTTCCCTCCCTCTCCTCCCTTTTAAGTGCCTTTTTTAGTGCCTCAGAATTCTGGTATAGCTACAATGAGTTCGGAGAAATCCAACATGAAGGTATCCCCAGTACCAGGTTACAAACAGACAGGATGCTTTGGGTTTGTAGACATATTTGATTTGACACACCTAGTGTTTCCCATGAAAATCCAAACTTCTGGCTTATTTTGAAAAAACAGTAGATATGACAACTCAGGGCTCTCTGCCCCAGTTGGCACAATCCTTGCTGGAGTAAGGTCAGTCTGCCTCCTTGGGCAGGCCCCATGTTCCACTTGGCCTTAGACCCGCTGGCCAGCTTAGCTACTGGTGTTACCTTCCTGGCCTCTACAGGCATATGGGTTGGTGACCTCAGCTGACCCTGAACAGGTCAACATTTCAAGTATGCACCTTTCCACTTTGTCAAAATTGTACGAAACATCATCCAACAGCATCAGAACATAGAATACAAACTTAATTGCTTTTCCATTGAAGTGTCTGATCTCACAGTGCTATTTTAGCTCCCATGTAAACACAGCAAAATGAAGTTCCCTTCTTGCTTACCTTCTGGGGAAATCAGATGAATTCATCAGATATTGAAATACAAACTTTTTCTTAGAATTGCCAACTTTGCCACACTGAGGCCCATGTTGATTTCTACCTAGTGAAAACTCCAGAGCAGGCTGGAGCCTGACAGAGCCCAATCCAGTGTTTACTCTGGTGCTAATCACAATCATGTTTACAGGAAAATGCCCTCATCTGCTTCCAGCAGCTCCAGCCACTCAGCCATGTGAGAGCTGTCTTCAAAGTCAATTGCCTGTCATTTTGCTGATTTATGTTGAGCAACTGCAAGGACCCCTCGAGGTATTTGTGGCTAGCCTGATGATTCCCAGCTTATAAAGTGGCATTGGGCAGAGAATTTCACTTCAAATTCCCATCAAGACAGAATTTAAATCCCCAGTCCTGCTGCTCATGTTTGCAATGTGAGCACTTTAGATAAGAAGAAACCATCAAACCCTAAATGCTGGGGGAAATACAACCTGGATGTCTTCAAATGGAGCCTGAGCCCAAATCTTCTTTCAGGCCTTAGATATGAAAGTGATTCTAACAATCTTTAAAATAGTGATCACATATGCTTTTCCCCAAGAAATATGCACAACTAAAGCCAGGCGGGAACTATCACATATGATTGGAGGAGCCCGGAAACACATTTCCCTGACCACCTGCCTGCATTCCTACATTTCAACCAGCAGAATCTAATTTCCTTGTAATTACTTTGCCCTGTAAAAGAAATTTTCTTTTAAAAATGAAAATATTACTAAAAAGAGTGATCTATTCAATTTCTAACCCATTAACTTCCGGTTGAGCTTCAGTTTTAGTGGGGTACAGCTTCCTTTCTATGCCAAGTCCTTCCCAAACCCTCCCCCACATGCACTGAGGAGCCAGAAGCTTGCAGATCTCCAGGAGCTGCAGATGCTGAGAGGTTTGATATCGGGCGAGAATCACCAAAGCCCTGCAGTGATCCTTTCTGTGCATTTCCCAGCGAGACCCAAACCACTCAGGGGTGAAAATGACCTATTTTTTAGATTCTTCCATACAGCAATAGGAAGGATTGCCCACAACTTACACGTTCTGTATTTCACTGGGTGTTTCAGACAACAAACGCACATAATGTTGGGGCTGGAAGATTTAGAGGTCTAGCTCCGCCCCCCAGGTGAAGAAACCCACGTAAAATGACTTTCCCAGTCAGTAGAGATCAAGGATTCTTAATAACCCAGACATGTGGCACTGAGTCATTCTAATCGAGGCGGACTCCAAAAGAAGTTCTATTGACTCATCTTCCAGTCATCTTCTCCAGCTCTCGCTTTGGGAAAGTATGTATGTGTTCCTTCCATTTAGAAGGGACTGCTCTGATGTCCCATCTCATTACATTTCTTAATTCCTTTCTTTGTATCTCAGTGGTATTTTTCCACGTTTCTGTTACTTAACCTATTTGGGCAACTCCAAACTAGAAACTATTGTCTTTGTGTCAAGAGGGTGCTTTTCTGTAAGGTGCATCACAATTCGAGGCCAGCTTTCGGCCCCTCTCCTGCTTCTCCAGCTTGTTAAGCCTGAGGTTCTCTGCTGTTGCTGTGTACTGTCGTGACACAGAGCGCCACTAGGTGGCAGTGTTTCAGAGCGTTCCTCAACCCTGTAATATGTTTTGGGCTGGGCTGCTACTTGCTAGTCTTTTACAGCACAAACAGGGCTGTGTGAACAGGCAGAGCACGCATTTGCTGCCGTGCTCTGGAAAGGATGAGTATTAGATATTATGGTAACGAGGGACAGAGGTCTGCGCGCTGTCTGTGTCCTTTCAAAGCTTGTTCTATCCACAAAGCTGACATATGCCACCGTTCTAACAAAGGAATCACAAATCCAAAGGCTGTTTGGGAGGTGTCCTTGAAAAGAATGGCCATAACCCTCTGCCCTCCTCATTTTGATTTTTCAACCCACCATTGGGTCCTGATTCATCCATAAAAACAACCACCAAAGGGGAAAAAGGCAATCCCCATGAGCATTATGTGTTTGCTGGGCAGGATAGTAATGGCCTAATCCTTCTAATGGCTTCAGTCACTGCAGGATATTAGCTATTAGAAGGGTCTGTTTTAAGGGGGGGGGGGGGCATCTGCTGATTACAGCATGCACCATGAATGAAAAGAAATTTAAAGAGACACAGCCCATTGATTTGGACACAAATAATTAGCTTGTAGTTTAAAAGGTATATTCAGGGCTTGAATTTTGGTGTCCAAGTTATTTGTGTAGTTCAAACTCAGATGTGATATCTCAGAATGGAGATGATCCCAGGAGCTACATGGTTCCACTCCCTTTTGTTTTTTGTAAAGAAAGTCTCAAGGGACTCAAAAGAATGTGGCCTGAAATGCTTAAACATTTACAACATGACTTGGATCCTGTGAAAATGAAGCCAAATGTTTTTATTCTAAACAGGTCAGTCCAGGACCACACTGTGGCACACACATCTAATTACCAAGCCTCCTGCCCTGCCCCCAGCCCCAGCCTCTGCACAAGACATAGTCCCCTACATCAGTGGTCCCCAACCCCTGGGACATGGTCTGATACAGGTTCATGGCCTATAAGGAACTGGGCCACACAGCAGTAGGTAAGTGGCGGGTGAGCAAATGAAGGTTCACCCATATTTGCAGCCTTTCCCCATTTCTCACATCACCACCTGAGTGCCCCCTTTGGTTAGATCGGCAAGCATTAGATTCCTGTGGGAGTGGGAACCCTATTTCCCTACTATGAACTGCACATGTGAGGGATCTAGGTTGTGTGCTCCTTTGAATCATCCTGAAACACCCCCTTCCACTGTCTGTAGAAAAACTGTCTTCCATGAAACTGGTCCCTGGTGCCAAAATGGTTGGGGACTGATGGCCCAGCCCCTTTTGATGTGGTGGTGGGGGGTCTTCTTTAATTTATTTCATTTGTCCTTCACTTTTTTTTTCTTTTTTTTTTTTTGGTACTGGGGATCGAACTCGGGTCCTTGTGCTTGTGCAGCAGGCGACGAAATCACTGAGCTAAATCCTGGGCCCATGTCCTTCACTTTTCTTTCTAGGCCTGACAATGAACTAAAGAAATTGAACCTTTCTGGAGTGTCATGAAATATTAGGCTTTCTATTCAGGAAAACAAGGGACACTGACTTCACCTCCCAGCTGCATTCAGCCTAGATCAGAGGTGAGCAAAGACCTGGCTTCCCTTTTTGGCCAGTCTCTAGTTCATTGGGGAACAACTGTCAACATGTTTGGGGATTTTACACCCTAACTTGATGCAAAGGAAGATAATGAGGTTGTATTTGGAGTCAAATGCACCCTGTCATTACACAAAATAATGAGTGAACATTTCGTGTTGGAACTGAGAGAACGTAAAACTTTGAGGAGAGGTAGTTCCTGAGTTTGAGAAGAGAATACTGCAAAATGTATGGTGGGATAGGCTTCCCTATACTTGTCCAGGTGGTAGATGATGCCAGTGTTCTGAGAAGGGCACTGTTGCCCATGATGATGAAATCATGGAAGCCACCACAGGAGAGACGAGGCCTTGTAGGAAGTGAAGACTTGCAGAAAGAGAAGGTTTATCCAACAGTGAGAAGGACAGAGGTCATTGCTGCAAGGATACCTTGGATTTCATGTCTGGAGGACAGGAACATATGGGAATGCAAAGATTGCCCATTGGTTGAAATTGAAGGACCCAAAAAGCACATTAGAAGAAAAAGTAGAAGAGATTCTGGCCAGATCTGGTATCTTTATAGTTCACCTTTTTTTAGATTATAAGGAATAGAGATACTTCATTTATTGTGAGTAAAGACTGTTGACTCTAAAACACAAGGGGTAAGATGGGAAAAACACATAGCCCTGCCTCTAAAAAAAAGCATGGACAGCTAAATAATCAAAGTCTATAGAGTCAGGCATGTAGTATGGGAACTGAGTCTTTCAAAAGGAGTTGATTGCCATTAAAATTATTGTTATTGTTCCCACCATAGAAGAAATGCTGTGCCACAGGAGGCCACACAGTGCAGCACTAAGTCAGAGAGAAGGAAGGGAACTTTGAGCATAAGCCCTTTTTGAGGCAAATGTGGAAAGGGGTGTGTGAAGCAGGGTAAGCAGGTTGAGGGTTGGCCAGTTTGAAGACTTTCTAGGTACTCTAGGTTATAGGGGCTGCTCCTAATTTCTTACCTGACCCAGGAGTGATCATAGCAAGTGGACAGTGGTCCTGTGTACAAGAGCCTAATAAAGCAGGTGGTTGGAGTAGGTCTCTAATTGGCTGAAAATCATGTAGCCGTGGGGCTGGGGATGGCCAGTTGCTTTCTATTTCTTGGACTTGGTTATCCCTGGAAAGAAGCCATCCCTCCAGGATCAGCAAGGTCCCAGATGTCAAAGCATCAGAATACAGAAAGTAAAAGACATGGTTAATGTGCCAAGAGATCATTCAGGACACACTGTGGGTCTAGAAATACTGTCATATTGCTGTCCCTATAGCTGCTACTCCAGTACTCCAAATTAGATGACTCATCCTCAGCCCCTCGCTGACTCTCCTCTGCCACTCTGATCTGGAGTTAGAATCCCAGGAAAGGATCAGACTGATTCAGTGGACTCCATCTAGCACTGGCTATTTCTTTTGGACCCATCTTTATGTCAGGCCCCCAAGGTGGATACCCATGGATCAGTACCCCCTTGTTTTAGGTACTTTCTCATCGTTGTGACAAAGTACCAAACACCCAAAGTTAAAGGAAAAAAGGTTTATTTTAGCCCACCATTTGTAGAGGTTTCAGTGTACACAGTGGTCTAGATGCAACGCAGGGTGTCATGGAAGAAGGATACGGCAGAGGAGAAACCATTCATGGAAAGGCAGGCAGGAAGCAGGAAGAAGCAAGCCTTCCTATCCCTTTTTATTCTCTTCAGGCTAGAAGCCTATTGGTTGGTGTCAGTCATACCCAGAGTGGGCCTTCTGTCTTCAGTAAATCCATTCAGCCACATGCAGAAATGTGCTAATTCAATCCCTGGTGTTATCCAGTTACCATACACTCATGATCTAGAAACATATCCATGATCCAGTCACTCCCAAAACCCCCACCTGGAACCACATGAGTCTTTGGGGGACATTTTAGATATAAACTATAACACCACTCATAGTCAGTTTACTAGTGGGTCTTACAGCTTGGCAAGCTAAGCTTAGAGCCTCCTGGCAGTAGGCAAGCCAAACTTGGGGGGAAACCTGAGGATTTTGAGGAGAAAATATAATCAGTTATCACCTCACTTGGCTTTTCCCACAAAAACTTATGGAAGTCAGAAAATGACTCTGGGTTACAACTACAGATGCACCCAAGATTCTAAATGAGGTAGTGACATGTGAAAACAACATCTTTATATAGAAGATTAACCTGGCAATAATTTGTGGGATGGATCAGCGAGGGGAAAGTCTGGAAACTGGAAGACTCATGAGGATCCTGTCATAGCTCCTCATGGATCTCAGTACCTGGAGTAGACAATGGGGACAAAGAAGAGGCATGTCCCAGAGACAGGCTGAAGGAAGTACTGACAGGACTTAGGAACTGATTGTCCGAGGAGGGAGAGGGACAGGAAAAACCCAAGAACAATTTTGAGATTATAAACCCAGGGCAGAGAGGAAGATGCCCCAATGATAAAAACAGCAAAGTATAGAAAGGAGAAAATAGGAGAATTCACTTTAGACATATAAACCATTCAGGTAATGGACAAATGCACCCCCAACTCTTGCTGGATAGGAAACACTGTGACTGAAGTGATGACACAGAAAATGTAATGGCTTTTTAGTTTTTAGTTTTTCACTCCTGACTGCAGCAACTCCATGAATACAGCTAGGACATTCCTATATTTTTCCAAGTTCTCTCAGACTTCTCAAAGTCCAAATCCTGGGTCTATAGCAAATAGGTGCCAATGACAGTTATCTAAATTCCTCCAACCACTTCTATTCAAGTGTGTCTTTTAAAGAATTGAAAGCATGATTCTCATGCAAATGTACACTAAACACTTCATAGAGACTTACTCCCCTGACCAACAAGGGAGCCAGCAGGATGAGAAAGCTGACCAAAGGGCTTTAGTGGGACAGGCCTTTTGTATGTTCTCTCAGGAAAGGAATGTTGAAATATGTCTACTACATTAATGTTGTGCTTTAGATCTAAAATGTCCTCCAAATTCTCATGTGTGTGGATGGAGACTGGATCATGGGGGCCCTATTGCTAACTTGCTGTTAGGAGATGGGGCCTGGTTGGAGGTGAGACATTTGGGGGCGTGACCTGGAAGGGTTTATTTCCTTCCCTGACTCCTCCCTTCTCTTTCAGCTTCCTGACTGCCATGGAATGAGCAGATGTCCTCCACCTAGGCCTTTCCACCACGCCATTTCTGCCTTGGAGCCAGTTGACCATAGACTGAAAACATGAGCCAAAATAAACCTCCCCTTTAAATTGTAGGTGTTGGGTATTTTGCTCCAGCAATGGGGAAAGTGACTTAGACAACTCAATAGGGCAATAAAATTGTACTCCTTTAGATCATCTTTTCTACTAGAAAGAAATGTTTGCATCTCTAATGGACAAAAATCATTTGAAAATTAGTCATCTTCTTCAAGCTAACACTCAACTCCACACAGTTTGGTCTCTAATCAACAGTTAATAGTCAATCACATCAAGCATCCTCTCCTAAGTAGGTCTTCCTTGCATGGGCCTCTTAGACAATATTCTAGCATGGCCCTGCAGGGCCTGAAGCTCATCTTTTTAGTTTATTTCTAAGTTTTGGCTAATTTCTAACTTCTATCCTGCCTTAAGATGTTAGATCTCAACTCAAGCCAAAATAAACCTTTCTTCTTTATAAGTTTATTATCCTAGGTATTTTGTTACAGTAATGCAAAGCTGACTTGCATAGCACACATGAAAGAGAAGAAGATACAAAGTGGGCCAAACACACTATAGCAACCCACTCTCATGAGAACTGATGCCATCTCATGAGGAAGACATTAATACTTCTTAAAGCTTCCCCCATGCACACATATGCCACTACATTGACAACCAAATTTCAACGTGAGTTTTGGCAGGGAAAAAAATACATCAAAACTACAGCATCAACAGTTTTTGGCATCCTTGAAAGATCAGATTTTCCTATTTGTTGAATTTATTTCCTTCCACAGAATCAGGTGTTTCACCTTCACAGATGTTATGTTAAAAATCTATTCTGACACCTGTTAAAATAGTGAGGATTACTGACATGGGTGTCAAGATTATCACTGTGGGGAGAAAGAAGGAGCTCCCCTGCAAATACAAGGACATTTGGAGATATCCAGTTCATGAGTGGGGTGAAGGGGTCAATGGATTAAAAATTACCAAGAGACATCAAGAGCAAGAGGATTCTCACTAAACTGACTTAACATGATTCTTGCTGAAGGTAGGCTAGGGTGGTCAGAGAGCATGGAGGATGGAGAATGGAGGACAAGGAATTTGATCAGTTGTTGAGGGTGATCAGATCAAGGGTGGGGGGTTCTTTTTTTTTTTGGCTACAGGGTCTTGCTATGTAGTTCAAGCTGGCCTTGAACTCACTATGTAGCCCAGGCTGGCCTCAAACTCACATCATGCCTTCTGCCTCAGCTTCCCCAGTGCTGGGATTATAGTCATGCACCACCACACCGGGCCAACGATGGGGGAATTTTTACCAAACTGATTTATCAGGTGTTAAGATGTCGGGAGCAATGCTACATAATTTTAGGGAAAAATCATTTGGTTTGCTTAGTTCTCCTGCCTACACCCCAGCTATGGAACTCCAAGACATAATTCCATTTTGGCCTCAGGTCACAACTGAGACCTCAATGATCCGGTGATGCTGTGATTCTCCAGGACAAGAAACATCCTGGGAGCTGAAAACATCCTGGGAGGAACAAACATCTACTCAGTTCCTCCTTGTTCTTGGATTGTTGCATCTTGTTTACCCAGATGTACTGAACTCTCTGCAAGTCATTTGTTACATTTGTTTCTCCCGATGTACTGAATCAAAGGTGCAGTAAGCTGGGGGCTTTCATCTTTGCTGCCCAGAGCAGCACTGATCAGACCCAAAGCTCAGCCTCTTCTCAGTCTCATTTTTCTACCTTTCCGGTAATTCGCCATGTACTGCCGGGGCTCGCAGGAGACTAGGACTTACTGCAGAGGTTCTAGTAATGTCCCCTTTCCCTGTTCCCTACATTAAGACAGCACCAGACCTAAATTTAAAGCCTTGTTGAGAAGAGAATTCAGGGGAACCTGGCTAAAGTTTGGTCAAATGGGGTTTGGGGGAGTGACCATGGCTCTGATTTTATGTTTTTTGGGGGGTTGTGTAGTTCACATCTGTCATCTTTCTAGACTGTAAGCCACTAGAGCAGGGGCCTGTGTTGGCCTTTGCTTACCATGTGATGTGGTCTGCACAGTTTGCTGATAAAGATTTACAGTGCTGGAAGCTTGGTCCCTGGTGTGGTATGTTAAAAGATGGTGACATCTTTCCTAGGTGGGACCTAGTGGGTGGCTATTACATCATGGGCCACAGCCTGCAGAAGGCATTAATGTCTTGTAGGAGTAGATTAGGTGTGGAGGGCCTCATTGGTCATCGCAAGAGTGAGTTGCTGTAATGACTGCAGCTTTCTCGGCTTGTTCTTTTGCTTCTCTCTCACCATGTGACCTCTCGCTCTTGCACAGCCTTTCACCATGTGATTCCATCTGCCACTTTACGGCACATCATGACTATTTCACCGCATGTGGGTGCTGAACCCTGGATTTTCAGCCTCCAAAACTACAAGTTAAATAAACTTCTAAGTGCTGGTGAAGCTGTGAGGGGAAAGGAAGCCTTCTGTACTGTTGGTGGGAATGTAAACTAGTATGAGCACTATGGAAGTCGGTGTGGAGATGCCTCAAAAAAAACTAAAACTAGAAATTCCGTTTGATGTAGCTGTTCCACTTATGGGTATCTTCTTGAAAGAGTTAAAGAGATCATATTACAGTGATACACACACATACCCATGTTTATAGTGGCACAATTAGTAATAGCTAAATTTTGGAGGTGGGCTATACACCTACCTATAGATAAAGAAAATGTGGAAGCATCTGCAGCTCCTAAGGTCCGGGGTGGGGGGGAGGCTTCCTAGGGAACTCCATGGGGATGGGCTGTTTTGCATTTGAATCACTTTCCTGTTCTTGAAGAACAATGCTGGAGAAGCCTCAGCAGTGGCAGAGGGACCTAAAATGCTAACACATCACCTATCTCTACAAAGGAACAGCTAAGGAGGCTTCTACAGTCTGCAGGGAGTGAAGGGAATGGCTGCCATGTTTTTGCTCTTTTTCTGTTGCTGTTTGCCTGAGAGTTGACCTGTCATGTGGTAGGGTGAGGACGTAGATAGAATTCCAAAGAGACAGCTGGAGAAAGGGATTATGCAAGTCCATGTAGGAGCCAGTACAAGTCCCAGACTCATGCTAAGATGTGTGCCCAGAACAAAACCAAAGTGGCAGAGCAAAGGCTTCAGAAAGTGATGACAACGAAAATCACCACTCATTGGTAAAACTGATGGGTGGGAGAGACCTGAGGACCATCTTGAAGCAATGACGGCAGGATGCAGTGAGTAGTCTGAACCTGCTGTGTTGACTGCCTAGCAAGATGAGAGGAAAAAGGAAACTGAGTCCTCTCATGAGGATGATAATAGGAACCAGAGCCTCACAAAACAACCAGCAAACTGCCCAGGACACTACCCAAAATTACACAACAAAACATACCAAAAATCAGGAAAATCTGAACAATTCTTAAGGAAAGGGTCAGCATTCATCCCTGAAATAACCCACATGAAGGAAGGATCATGGAAAGCATCTATTATAACCATTCTCAAAAAACAAAGGCAAATACTGTTGAAATTAATAGAAAGAAGTAAGTTCTCATCAGAGAAATAATAAGAGTCAGAGACCCTGTAGGTCAGTAAATGACAATCAAAAGAACAAAGAAAAAGAAAAAAAAGTTTAAAAAGTAAGAGTCTCAGAGATATGTAAAACAACATCAGAACTTTTAACTTCTGTACCATTGGAATGGGGAGGAGTAAAAGGAGGTGAGAAGCAAAATTTATAAGGAAAAGAATGGTATAAAAATGTCACAAATTCATGAAAAATAGATCCAGGAAGCACAGAAAGTCTCACCTGATACAGGCTCAACACAATAAGCAGCAAGCATGAAGACAACTCTTGAAAAAACTTAGAGACCAGGCTTCTGTATTTTATGTCAAATCTAAATGAATCTAGATGGTGACCTTAGCCCACTGTGAAATGATTAGGAGACTTAGTATTATTCCCACAGCAACTCCAAAACAATAACAAACTTGCTCAGGAAAAATAGGATGACCTTGGTATCCAGAAGCTGTGAATGAAACGGGTTTCTGTGAGAACACAACCTTGACTTTCTTGGTGAAATGTCTAGGTATAGGGTCATGGGTAATAGGGAAAGGGTGTCTCTCCCAGCCTGCCCATGTCTGGCATGTAGTGTTTTGGTTGTCAGGTATTGGGAGGAACCTCTGGTGTTTTTACAAAGATTATTTGCAATTGTTGTGTCTTCTCTCCGCTTTGTTTTTAAATAACTTTGGTTGCATAGATATTGACTCAGAGATATTTGTTTTATAATTTGAGTTTTAATAAGCTTGTTTTATTTTCAAAAAAAAGAAAATGTGGAATATATACATGATGGAGTACTACTTTGCCATAAAGAAGGATGAACTTGAGTCATTTGTAGGAAAATGGATCCACCTTGAGACCAAAATGTTAAGTGAGGGCTGGGGATTTAGCTCAGTGGTTTTGCCTCCTGCTGTGCAAGCGCAAGGACCCGAGTTCAATCCCCGGTACCAAAAAAAAAAAAAAAATGT